AACGTCCTTTTTTTTTCCTAACAACAAGCAACAGGAGCATTCCGTTTTTCCTTAAAAAAAGCACCAGAAGGAAGTTCGTGATGGTTCGAACAACTCAAAAAAGAAACTAAGCCTGACATATGTGGGTCAGACACGCAAGACACATCAGCATGAGCCATCCATGACGGTCTGTTTGGTGTACTGCTAGCCGATTCATGACAGTATCTGTGACGGTCCATCATAAGAGCGCCATTGTTGTTGGCCTCGTTCTCGTCTCATTAGTCCGTGACGGATTTCATGACGAACTAGACAAATCCGTCATCGATCATGACGGTTTCTGCGAACGTCACCAGAAATCTGTCATGTATTAACACATTTCTTGTAGTGGCGTGAGGGTCTTTGTTGGTTTTGGAGTCGTGCCATCGAGGTCATAAGAAGCTGAGTGACACATACCACCTCAGTTGATTCTTCCATAGCACAAAGGTACCACGAGTGAGTTTCTTAGTCAGTTGGTGGCCCAGAAAAGGAGCCATTATCAAACTGGATGCAGGGGCCATTGCCATTGACACTAGATGTGATTAGGAAATGTAGGCTCAAATTTAATGTAAATTAGGTCAACAGATTGGTTAAGGGTGTCTACCTCCCAGAGGACTACATGGGTTATATTAACTTCAAAACTTGGGTTACAAGGAGTTTATCAACCGAACGACCTACTTTACATATAAAGATTTAATTATGTTAGATAAGGAAAGTTACAACCGATAATATTAGGAGTACAACAGATACAATTTGAGAGAATAAAATGTTTTCGGAACACAAAAATATGCTTCGCGGTTGTTAGAAATGTACTTTGCAATTATTATTTTTGATTATTTACTACGGAGCAGAAGCTATGTGGTCCTTTATTAAAACTCAATCACAAAATGTATACAAGACAAAGGTCCAAGAAGGAATAAAAATAAAACCTACCTATCAACTTACCAACAATCTAAGGTGGGCTATTGATCGGGGACAATAGTCTTGGTATGTTACAGTCATCCACTCTATTAGCAAGAAGAGAAACATCATGTACAGATTTACAATGCCATGAGGCAAAAGAGGGTCTCTCACCCTTGAAAGATTTCCCATTGCGCAAAGCCCATATATTTCACGCAGCCATAAAAACAACCTCAAAAGAAACGATGCCCAAAGCCCTTGCAAGCAGCCATAGTACATTTTCTACTCTTGTTCCAATCAATCTGCACATAGTTCCACACTCTGACACAGAAATTGCAGGAGAAGAAAAGATGGTCTCTATCTTCATGAGCTTGGGTCCGGCACATCACACAAGAATTGTCCTCCTAATCAGATCTTCAATGCCTTCTGACTAACATGTCTTTTGTGATGAACTTATCAAAAAGTAGCAGCCATGCAAAGATCTTGATCTTTACTAATTTGGTCTGGACCTAGGATTGATATTTTTTAGGTAATCAAAGGAGGGAGTGGTAGGGGGGAGAAGATTCGTATAATGTTATCAATCCTATCAACCATGAGAGTTGCAGCAGAATGAAGCAAGACATGAAATATGTGTGGAGGCTATATAAAACGGCCAAGATTTTTTTTTCGAAAAGGGGGTTTGCCCCGGCCTCTGCATCAGAATGATGCATACGGCCATATTATTGATAATCAAAAGGTCCAACAAAAGTCTCAAAGTCCGAAACAAAAGTAAAAATGCTCACAAAGAGCACGAAAGCAAAAACAGGACAGCCACAACCGGCAGGCAAAACAGAAGATAGAGAACTAAACACCTATCCTATTACATGAGCGACATCCAAACCGGTTGAAGTTAGCCCGTGCTACCGTCTCCCATCGGATAGATTTAGTAACCAAATGTTCCCTGGCCTCCGTCGAAGTGAGTAGCGACCACATACGGATGAGTGTAGTGGCCCTGAAAACAACCTGCAAGAAATGAATATTTGTTGTTCTGCTAAAAATCAAGTCGTTTCTGCAGTTCCAAACTGCCCATAATAAAGCACATACTCCTACACGGATATGCCTCGCTGTTTCTACATCAATCTCATCTAGCCACGTCCCAAATAACGTGTTAATGGAATTCATGGGAGTAATATTAAAAGCTATGTGGACCGACCTCCACAAATGTTTTGCCAAAGGGCAGTCAAGAAAGAGGTCTTTGAGTGATTCATCACTATCACAAAAACTACATCTTTTAGATCCAGTCCAGTTGCGCTTCGTCAAATGTCCTTAGTTAGGGTTACTTGTTTGTGGACAAACCACATAAACACTTTGATTTTTAAAGGCACTTTGACTTTCCAAACATGTTTCGAACTAGGAATAACGCTAGTGTTGATAATATCCAAATACATGGATTTAACCGAAAACTCACCATTCTTAGCTAGTTTCCAGTGCAACTGATCGGGCTGTTGAGAAAGGTGGACATCCATCAATCTTCTCACAAGATGGAGCCAAGCTTCCCAACGATTCCCCGCTAGCGTCCTACTTAATTGAATATTAAGAGGATTGGACTGTAATACTGTTGCAACGTAAGTGTCTCTTCGCTGAACAATATTATAGAGAGAAGGATATTGAATTGCAAGGGGCGTCTCCCCTAGCCATGTATCCTCCCAGAATCTTGTGAAAGTACCATTTTCAACTATAAATTTTGTCCTGTTGAAAAAGACTGATTTCACTCTAATCAGTCCCTCTGAAAAGGCGAGTCAATCAGTCTTACCTTCACCTGGGACAAGGTGCCAAGATGAACACAAGTGTACCACCTTGGGATAAAAGCATGCACGCTAGCCTGATACATATTTTGTTCCAAACTTATCGGTGAAGGTCGGGAGGCAGAGGACACGTGAGTTGGGGAGAGGGGGGG